TTCCTCGGCGATCAGACGGATCTCTTCGTAACATGGCTGCACGAAGTTCTTCAAAAGCTGCAGGAAGTAACGCTGCCCGCATCAAGTGGTGAGTTGTTTTATTATTATATTAACTTACAGTTCATTTTGACAATTTTCTCAGCTGGCAGTAAGAAACGCAAATCTCGTCAAGCCGAGGCGCCCAAAGCAAAGGACAAAGACAAGGATAAGGATAAGGACAAAAGGGGCAAGGACAAAAGGGATAAAAGGGCGCACAGAAAATCCGGCGACGACTTGCCTAATACTTCAGTTGATATTACAAAAAGATCAGCCGACTCTATGCCGGCAATTAACTCCATAACAGATGTCTTTGCCGAAGAGCTACTCGAAAAAGCTAAAAAGACGCTCGATATGGATGGTAGCCTAAATGATGAGTTGCTGCTCAAGAAGAAAAAACGCAAAGCAGCAGAAGATGATGAGCCACCGCAGCCGCAGCTACTACAGCAGCCGACAACAAAAGATTTCGATGTACCAACCGTGTCGGAAATCAGCTCAACTACCACCAGTGGCAATCGGGAGAAGGATATTGCTGAATTGGCCGAAATTCAGCGTAAAATCTATGCGGCCAAGCAGCATTTGCGCCAGATTGGTGAGCTGGACGATGAAAGCGAAGAGGAGGAATGCCAACAGCTTGTCGAGGATGTGCTAAGTATCAACGAGCAGGATGAATCTGTTGGCCAAGATTCCACGGCTGCAATTACAGAAGCATCCAGCGCCAGTACGAGCACACGCCGAGCAAAAAGTCCCATTGTGTTTAATAGGACGACCGAACCAGAGGTAGCTAGAGAAAAACCAAAATCTCAAACTGAAACAACAGCCCAGCAAAAGTTTAGTGACGAGCGTTCGGAGCGTCGCTCGGTGCACGAGCGTTTAGGCTGCAAGACCCAAGGTCCACAGCAGCCACAACAGCAGTTAACGCCTCCGGAGCGTCCACAACGCGTACAAAAGGAGCTGGAGCTTTATGTACCAGCTCATCGCCGACGCAGTGAGCAGCAGCAGGAGGAGAGCAAGAAACTTGAACGTGGCCGTGAACGTAGTCATCGCAACGATAGCCAGCCAAGTCGCCGGCGAGAGCGAGAGACGTTGCGCAGTCGACGCACACCTAGCCGTAGTCCCGAAACCAACTTCAAGCATCGCATTGGGTCGCGTGTGATTGTCGCTGTTAATAAGCCCCCGGAACCATCCGACGATGAGGATCTGCTGGATAAGCCCGTTAATTCGGTTATTAAGATTAAGCCACGGCCACAGGTTTCGCCGCGGCGCCAGGCCTGCAAGAATCTGCTGCTTCGAGCCGTTGCCGATGCACAGCGATCCACGATCTTGGCCAAAACGACAGTGACGCCGGCAACAGCTGCTGTCGCGGCCTTAAAGCAACGAACTACTGGAGACGAGCCAGAGCTCATCAGTTCCACGTTAGGCAAACGGCGCTCAAATGATTCAAGTGGAAGTGGAGCTGGAAGAGAGCTTTTTCGGCGCAGCAGGCGGGAACTGGTGGTCAATGTACTGCACAGAGATAGCAAGCGGATGCGTCACTCGGCCGAGCCACATGCTGAAATCAATCTGGTGGCAGAGGAGCTGGAGGAGGAGTATGTGCCCAGCTTAAGCGTTGGCAACTATGAGGCTTATGTGCCACAGCTGGTACACAATGATGCGGCGAAAGTGGACATGGATATTGACATGCATGTGGAAAAAAGTGCCGGAAGCGTCGGTGGCTCCACAGCTGGTGTACCCAAAACACAATTTGTGGTGACGCTGAATGGTGATAAGTCGTTGGGAAGTGTCGCTTCTGCTGCCTATCGCAAGCGTCCACGTAAACGCACGCCTTCCCCGCAAGTATCCTCGACCAGTTGCACAACAGTGCAGTTTCTGAGCGCTGAGCCAACCTCAACGACCTGCACTTCCTCAACAAACAACAACAACAGTAGGCGTAACAAATCCAAACGGGCGCGCAGTTCGTCGCGATCTTCCCCTTCCACATCGAGCAATACGCCGCCACCAAAGCCTTCGCGCAGTCTGCATCGCAGCGAGGTGCTGAGACAAGCGCCGGAAATCAAGAAGATCATCATCAAGAATGACGCTGAAGACGATGAGGAGGAGCAGCAGTTGCCTGAATCGCCGCGTAAGCATGGCTCCCAAAAACGGCAGAGCAGCAACTCCAATACGACCGCCTCTTCCTCAAATGACCTTAAGACAGACTCAAAAGTTCAGCCAGAAGAGAGCAATCGCTCAACTACGCCACCACTGCCACCAATGCGGCTGCAGAAACGCGATTTTAGCCGTGAGAAATCAACAGCGGCGACAGCGGCTCCAACTCCGGCAACAGTAGAGGCGCCTGCAAAGGCCAAGCACACGCCCATACGCTTCAAGCTTAAGACGGAGGAGGAGGAGTTGCAGCCGGTAAAGAAACGTCGATCCGGCAGCAAAGAGCGTGAATCGTCCATGGAACGACGGCGAATCTCTATACGCAATGCAGAAGATCGAAAGTACGACAATTTGCCGGCATGTAAGTACCTTGAATGTTACATTATTTTGTAGTATTCTCTTAGTTGTGGAAGGTAATTTTACGTGCCGCTGTTAATGTAATGTTAACAGACAAACATGTTAAACCTAACAGACACCTAAGTTCTTCGAATTAGCATATCCGTTAATGCGAGGACGTTTTGAGACTTAATTTCTAATCGCTGATTTTTCCATTTGGAGTGCTCGTTTTGGTAATAAAATTTATATGCCCTAAGCTAACCCTCGGCGGATCGCAAAAATATACGATAAGAAACATATCATACTAACAATACATAATTCCAACAAGTAATTATGCTCTTCTCGGAGAGTGATCGATAAGAAGATACCCTATAGCTAATTCAAGAATATCGTTAATTTTTAAGCATTCGGTAATTATTAATATTTCATAAATCGAGTTTATCTAGAAACGGTTTCTTACTGCAGCGACTGCATCCCCAATGCAATAAGCGAGCGTTATGTTAAAATGCATAATATTTACTTAAAGGTGACATTTGGGAACGCATTTCATAATTAAATCTCGATTTGATTTTGAAAACATGCTGTTATAACCGAGAACGGCGCAATTACGCATAGGTCAATTTGCTAACATTTACTCTGCTATTGCTATGGCGTTCAGTCTACTTATATATACGCATTATAATTTTTATAGCCTGAACCCATTAAAAATAGGTGTAAGGTTATATTGTATTTGTGCAATTCCAAATGTATGTAAAAGGCAGAAGGAAGCATATCCGACCCCATAAAGTATATATATTCTTGATCAGCACCAATAGCCGATCTATCTATGTCCGTCTGTCTGTCTGTCCGTCTGTCCGTTTGTATGAATGCAAGGATCTCAGAACCTATAAGAGCTAGAGACTTAAAATTTTAGATGTAGGTCCTCCTAGTGCTTGCGCAGATCGAGTTTGTTTCCAATAATCGATAACTTACTCAGTTTTCAAGCAATCGATAAAAATCGATATCAAAATACTGTTTTTGGCGATTTTGGTAACTTGACATATAGCTTCTAAAATAGAATATATGTATGTATTTGATGTTGGAAGAAGAGGGTTCAGGGTATCCCCTAGTCGGGAGCTTTCGACTAGAACCTCTTACTTGCTAAATAATAGATTTGTCTACTCATATTTTCACTATTTTTCCTATACCTCGTTTTATGCGCAGTAAGCGCCGTCAGTGTGGATTCAACGGTTTTAAAGGTGACGAAGCCAAAGGAGCGCTGCAAATACCATCCCAATTGCAGCAAGCAATTTTGCGAATATTATCATCCATCGGCACCATGCAAATCCTTTCCCAACTGCAAATTCGCCGACAAGTGCATGTATTCGCATCCAAAGTGTAAATTCGATTTGGCCTGCATGAGCATCGACTGCAACTTTGCGCACAGTGGGAACCGGGATCTGAGTCACGTGCAGCTGGCGGCGCCGCCTCTGTGTAAGTGCAACATGTGGTCAAATATTAATCTTATTAAGTCGTAATTCATATATTTTTTATATTGGTAGCCTCGCATGTGATACCTGTGCAAAATTACAAATCAATATCCGCACCGGTGACGGCGACCACAGCAACCACCATGTGCAAATATTATCCCAATTGCACAAAGGCGGGCTGCACGTTCTATCACCCAAAACCATGTCGTTATGGCAAGAACTGCATTAATAAGCTGGAGTGCATATTTTATCATCCGGAGATGCAAAGCAAATTTAAATGGGTGGCGTCACTGGGCTGAGGACAACCACTCGAACTAGCGCTCATTTTCATTAGCATTTTTTTATTTAGCTGATTGCACACTTTTTTGGATTCTCTTCTATTCGCATCAGAAATATTGAAAGTAGCGCAAACTATTCACGAACAATTTTACTTTGCAAACTGTGTTTTGTATTTTGTTTAATTTAATTTGTGAACTTTATTTGGCTACTCATTGCATATTTAATATTTTATATACTAGACATTAGCTCGCGAAAACATCAACCACAAAACATTGAAATATTAAAACTGTTGTCAATAGATTTGTTGCGTTATGTTTAAAGGCAGACTCGTCTACATCTTATCTGTAAACGTCATATATAAGTCGGTGAATAAAATTTAGCAATCTACTTGCTACAAATTGGATATAAAAATTTGTTTCAGTTTCGTACATCTGACAAGATATATCGGGTTTAGAAAGTTTGTTATAACCCCCTAAGCCGGAATAAAAAGTGGATACTTCTATATAGAAATATCGATAAAGCCTAAATGAATATTTGATAAGCATTCAATCTTTCCAATTGATATATAATAGTGCCAGAGCTATGCCTTTAAAAGTAATCTACTCGTGACTGCAAATTTCAATATATCTCAAATTGGTTTTATAGATCTCCAGCATATTTAATAAATTTCGTGCAGGTCTTCCAATATAACCCAATCTACATATATATTTATATGTCCAAATTACAAAATCTTTTTCGCTTATTATTTGTATTTATTATCTTTTCTTTGAAAAAAAGTCGAAATATTTAATATATGTATAGTACAGTCTCTTAAGTTTACGCTTAAAAATGTTAGAGCAAAATATTTGATTTACTTAATAGTTACGTATAATTAGTTCTGATGCTCTTTCTATAAGGCCGCAATAAATGATTTATATATATATATATAGGCATGTTTAAATAAACATATATATGTATGCATGCAAAGGTATATAGGATTTTATTTAGCTCAGCTAATTTAGTTTAAAAACGGGCATACACACCTATTTACAAAATTTTACTTGTACATTATCGTATTTAAGGGCTTGCGCATGGAATGCTTCGAATTGTGTTGTTATTTTTAGTTTAAACTCTATTTTCAATTTCGTGTTTCCGTTTCTGTGTGCAGCATAACTTTGTTCGCAGCTTTTAGATATATTTCATTCGTTCATTCTGTTTACATCGAATACTGAATCTAAACAGTAATTATATAACGACTATAAAGTGAGTAGTTACTCGCTATAATAAATAGAAAACTGAATTATTTACTAACTAAAGCGTAGGTATTAAAGTCTAAGTGTGTCTCTGTGGGAGAGGGGAGGGGGGTGGGGGAGGATTGCTGCAGAGTTGCTCTGTGGAAGCCTGATTGATTGCTTTGCGAGCACCTTTTAAAGACGAACTTAACTAAAGATAAACTTAGTACAACAAAACAGGAGCGCATTGTACTTATATGGGCGGATTTTGTAAAATATCTTTTGTTTATATTGAGGCTTGGTACTGGTGCTAACTAAATAAGTCGTTCTTCTGGCGGTGGCTTCAGCACATTGTCCATTTCCAGTCGAGGATTACAGTACTCCTGTGCGCTGGGACTGTAGGTGCCACGTGTGGCACGCTTATTGCGTGCCATCACCAGAAACGTGCCCAGCAGTGCACCAGCGATTAACAGCAGGACGACAACAACAGGTATGACAATAATAGCAATGTCTGTTGTCGATGGACCATCATCCTTGGCCGTTATCTAAAGATACATATTGATTAGAAGAGTTGGCTAGAATTGTGAATTATTTTAACATACCGGCGCTGTGCAGTTCTTTCCCATAAAACCCTCGGTGCAATTGCAGTAGTAATCCGCTTCGCCGCCGCAGTTCTCCACGCACTGCCCGCCATTGGCGCAAATGTTTAGCGTATTACACGGATCGGTAAAGTTACAGAAGGCGCCACAGTAGGGCTTCTGGCAAATGCACTTAAAGCTGCCCGGCATGTTGATGCAGCGTCCGAGATCGCCACAATACTCCAAGCTCTCGATGCACTCGTCTATGTCGTTTTCACAGTGCACGCCCTCAAAGCCAGTGGACGTACAGTTGCATTGATAGCCACCTACAAGATCGTTACATTGGCCACCATTCATGCAGGGATTGGAGGCACATTCATCGATCTCCTCTTCACAAAGGCGACCCGCATACCCCAGACTGCACTTGCAATTTGGTATCTGTAAAAGCTTAAAGTCTTAAAATGTGTATTCAGAGACTAAATAAACGTAGGCTTACGGAATTTGTGGTCAGGCACAAGCCTCCATTGGAGCAGGGTGTCAGCTCGCAGAAGGGCATGTCACATAGTGGGCCCTCAAATCCTGTAGAGCAGGTGCAGGTAAAGTTATTCCCGGTTTGAGCATCTAAAAATTAAATACAAGTAAGCATATATTAATATCTTGTATATCTTAAGCGTAAAGACGATTAATTAAATATTAATGTATCTGTATGTAAAACGGTTTGTTCGAATTGTTTTACACTTTTCGAAAAATATACCCAAGGGTTTAATGGCGAAGGATTATATGGGCGGGATTAAATTTGGATTCTTTATGCGATTGACTTTTTACACATTTTTATTAAGAGAAAAGTGTGAATTGCGAATATCTTATATTTAAAAATATTAAAAAAAAACTTATCCTAAGCAAAACTGGCAGTAGATGAGCAAGAAACAGCCAATATCTCTGGGGGATATTTTCCAGATCATTTCTTAGAACAAGTTAAGAATAAGTATTACATAGCTATCGCAAAAAATTCCGCATTCAAGTCTTTGGAGGAAATCTATATCCTTGAAGCTAATTACAAGATATTGCTTAGGGGCTAGCATCGAAAACCACACAAGTTGTGGTTTCATGAGATGGACTGCCAAGAATCGGGTACAATTTAAAGATGTAACCAGAACAACAACACAGGATTCAGATAGTCATGGTAGATACTGGCCAATCGGCCGTTTAAGCAAAAGGAAGCATATTTCGCAAGCTGACTTTTGCAGCAGCTGAATAGATAAGGAGCGTACACAATGCATAAAACTAATGGCCAGGCTAATTTGTGGTCTCTGCTTGATGATATTAATGGCACAGGGGCTTTGTTTAACTAACTACAACAGTTGTAATCTGATAGGTAACTCGTCATAAATGGTGCATTAGCATATTTAAAGAGATGACTTAGATACAGTTAGTTAATCAATATATTGACTTACTAAATCCATTTTCACAGGTGGAATCATTGCGGCAAGGCTCATTTTCGCAAGTCATCTGCTTGAGTGCACTGCACTGCGGACCCGTGTACTCGTCGGGGCAGTCGCAGCGGTAGGCAGCGATCAGATCGGTGCAGTTGCCGCCATTGTGACATGGCTGGGCGGCGCATTCGTCAATGTTCTGTTCACAGTAGCGACCCTCGAAGCCGGGCTGGCACTCGCAATAGAAGTTGGCCACCTGATTGATACATGTGGAATTGTTTTCGCAGTGCGTGTTGAGGCACTCGTCGATGTCCGTGGCGCAGTCATCGCCCTCGTAGCCCGCCTGGCAGGTGCACGCGTATTCATCGTTGGGCGCATTGCAGTAGCCGCCATTTTTACAGTCCGCTTGGAAGCACAAAATGCAGCCCTCCTCGGGTCGGGTCGAGTTCAGCCGAAATTGTGCATGCAGCTGCACGGACACATTCTCTGTGTGCGGGTAGAGTTCGGCATTGGAGAAATAGGGCAACAGTAGATCACCGACGCGCGCCTCTCCCAGGCAGCCTTTGAACTGGGAGCCCTGCTGGGAGGATTGTGTGGAGCCGCGCAATTGACGCGACTCTGGCATGCCGCCCAAATAGACTTGGGTGCTGCTGAAGAGCAGATCCTGGAACGCCGCCTGATCGATGTCCGTTGAGAAGCCAGGCGTGGGATCTACCATCGATTCCCAACCCTTCCAGCCGCCCTCAAGTTTACCGCCGTGTGCACGCAAATAAATGCGATTCCATTCGCCATCCGTGTTCTCCTTCTCGAAGCGCCCTGACTCACCAATGTGCAACTGGGTCAGCTTCCATGTGACAGTTACCCGGCCACCATTCACGCCAATTTCAAAGAAGCTATCCTGATTGTCAATAAAGAGCAGAGTGCCACCGGCACGTGTGCGATAGGCAATTTCAATTACCGGTTTCAGTAGCGGCTGCTTGGTCATGCCGCCAATCTCATCTGGCAGCTGCTCTTTGAAGTAGGAGAAGGCCAGCGGCGAATGTTCCTGGCCAGTGAATGTGATATTGGTTAAGCACTCGTAGCCATCGTCCAGATTCTGGCAGATACTGCCGCCTGGACAGGTCACCAGCTGACAGAACTCAATCTCCTGACAATCCTTGCCCTTGTAACCATTCGGGCATTTACAGCTATAATCGTTCCATGTGTTGCGGCACTCGGCATTGTGTTTGCACGGATTCTTGCGGCACAAATCGTCCGACACTTCGCCCGGCAGTACCGACGTTCGATCAATACTGACCGCTCCAAAGGGCTTGGCGTTCACATTTATATCGGTCACATTCAATGGATACATTTCGACGATCATATTGAGCGAACCATTGCTCACTTTAACATCCTGTATTATGCCCTTGAAGTAATCCTTGCTATCGTCCGACTCCTTGGACGGCGTGCTGCTGCTTACGGGCACGCTGTTTTCATCTAAGCCCGGCTCTGTGCTAACTGGCAGCAAAGATTCGCGCGTTGGGGCCGGCCCGCCCAAGTAGAGCACCTGTGCATCAAGCAGACCCGTCGTCGACAGCGTCTTGCGGAAGTACTCGGTACCATTGAGCTTGACCTGCACTAGTGTCTGATTACGCACCACCTCGATGAGATGATTGTAACCATTGTCCAGCTTTTGTGCACCGACCGTATATGCCTCCGGCGTACCATTAAACAGCATTTTCACCAGCAACTCACCACCATGCAGCTTAGCTGACACATACGAGTCGCCAACGTCTACGGGAGAGGCACATTAAGATAGGATTTGACTTTGTTAGAAATACTCACTCTTTGTGGGCATCTTGCGCGGATCGCTTCCCAGGTAGAAGACCTGACCCGTTGGTTCACGCGTTCGGATAAACATGGATATGTCCAAAATGGAGCGTATGGCGCGTCTGGCTACATCTGTCGTCTCCACAATCACAGCCGAGTGTGTGGTATTCTCATGTCCGAAGGTGGCTGCCGTCATATCTAATGAGTATAGAAGAGTTTGTTATGCCAAATACTTGTCATGCACTGTATACAAGTACTCACTGTGCTGGCATGTGTGTCCAAAGAAGGGCCTGGGACAGTGGCAGGTGAAGGTGTGCCAAAGATCTGTGCACTCGCCATTGGAGTGACACGGATTTGGGTTGCATTGCTGCGTGCGCGGACAGCCGCTTTGTACATAGGACAACTTGGTATTCTCATCCAAATCGGGCTCGTTGTGCTCGTCGGGAAAGATCCATTTGCCATTGACGACGACATCCTGCATGCAGCCCACATAGCTGGTGGGCTGATGCGTCAGATGGTTTAGATATGACTTTAAATTGGGTATGGTTCCGCCCAGATAGGTTAGTGGGAACAATGGCTGGCTATTGTTGGCTGTCTCATAGGAACCCACAGGAAAGATAGCCTGCTCATCATTGGCAGAAAGCACCAAGTGCGACGTATTGATGGCCACAAACACTTTGTGCCAATTACTGTCATTCAGCTTTGATCCAATGAAAACGCCCTCCCATTTGTTCAACAGCGATGAATGTAAATTCAGCCTTCCATTAATCAGCTCCAGTATATAGCTAACCGGTCCGTTCTGACCACCGGAGGTTCCAAAGGCAAGGACACCATTTGGCAGCGTTGTCTTGAATTGCAAATTAATGTCGTAGCCCTCGTCGCGTTGCGTCTTGACCGTTATCAGACTGCTGACAACCATGGACAAGGTTGTGGTCTTCTCGCAGGTTTCCCCCTGGTAGCCGTGCTCGCAGGAGCAGTTGAACAGGTGTATCGTTTCGTTGACTAAAAATGGGCGACAGGTGCCATTATTCAAACAGGGACCACTGATGCAGCCAATTAGCGGTACAGAGCAATTCTTGCCACCAAAATTGGCATCACAGTCGCATTCGTAGTCATTAATCTCATCAATGCAGGTGCCATTCTGGCAGGGATTATAGCGATCGCATTCATCAATGTTGATCTCACAGTGTGTACCCTCAAAGCCCGGATCACATTCGCAGGTGTAGGTACCAATCTGTAGGGATAGAAACCAATAAGTTTCATGGCGCTTTGTTAGCTAATTAATTGATGCACTTACTCCATCATTGCAGGTGCCATGCTTGGTGCACGGATTACTCTCGCATTCGTTTATATTGATCTCACAGTTCTTGCCTATGATGCCTGGCACGCAAACACATTCATAGCTGGAAAATAAGATATTAGGATAAATACGATTTTCCCCGCCGTGTCCCTTCCAAGTTTTTTAATTCGGATTTTAGGTATAAATTGTCCACTCATTTTCCGCCCTTAGAAAACTTATATCTACCCAAACTAAAATAAAAAAATGATTTCGATTTCCCAAGCTGCATTACATATACTTTTAAGCTTAGCGTTTACGGTTTAGGTTCTCCTGGTTAACCAGTCAGTCAATCAGTCAGTCATTCCAGATAAACAGTGTATCATGTATGTATATATTTTTATTTGCAAGCACCGCTTGTTCGCATCCTTAACTTACCCGCTAGCATTCTCATAGCTGAAGGGCTGACTGAATACGCGTGGCAAGTCCATAACTCTGCTGAGCTGATACAAGGTGGCATTGGAGCGTTCCAAGCAGCTGCTATTGTATTGACAGGGATTGCTCTCGCACTCATTAATATCCTGTTCACAGTTCTTTCCCTTGTAGCCAGCATGGCATTCACAGAAATAGTCCTTCACCTGATCTATGCACTTGGCGCCATTCGTGCATGGATTCGACACGCATTCATCAATATTCAGCTCACAGTTCTTGCCCTCGTATCCCGTGCCGCCGCAGTCGCAATGGAAACCACCCAGCTCGTCTATGCAGAGGCCATTGTTGAGGCAGGGCGCCGAGATGCAGTCATCGATGTCAATGTCACATATGCGACCCGTCATACCCGGTATGCAGGAGCACGTGAAATTGTTAATCATATCAATACAAGTGGAGCCATTCGAGCACGGATTGCTAATGCACTCGTCAATATCAATTTCGCAGTTCTCCCCTTGATAGCCCGGCTTGCAGTCGCACGCGTAAGCATTGATCTGGTTTTTCAGAAGGAAAAGACAAATTAATATTGTTTCTTTTAGATATAAAAGTATCTTAGCCCTAAAATGCAACTAAATTCTAAATTTACTTTTCGGAATTAAAATATTATGAATTGTAAATTTAAGTTAATTATAGGAGTAGGGTTTAATTTAAATTGCAAGCAATACGGAAGCAAGATAAACCATGGCTGCACAATATCGGAGAGGATTTATTAGATTTACATAAAGTGATAATAGGAAATGCGGAAATATAAGAGGAAAACACGATAACATATCTCGCTAACTTTGCAGAAATTGACATTATCTCGTATTTTAAAAGGGATCTCTAGGAATTCCTTCTCAGTGTGAGAAAGGTAGTGTGATCAATCTATTGATTAAGTAAGGGTTTTACTTTTAGGATAAATCAGCTTAAAAACCCTAGCGAAGCTCTACATCTTGTTCTCTTTTTATATCAGCACTCACTTGTCTCAATATCCGATGCTTTCCATATTTAAAGAAAAACAACTAATTACATTTTAGTAACTGGAGACTCTATTCTGATGGCTGGTACAGTGAAACACTTACCTTGTTGTGGCATGTGGCGCCATGCAGGCACGGATGACTGAGGCATTCATCTACATCGGAGTCACAATGGATGCCAGTGAACCCAGGCGTACAGTAGCACTTGTAGGAACCCTTCTCATTTTTGCATATGCCATTGCCGCAGATCTTTGGCTGCAGCACGCATTCATCCACATCGTTGGCACAGTTCCGACCTGTCCATCCCCGCTGACACTTGCACTCGAAGTCCCCATTGGGCAGGTCGAGGCACTCTCCGCCATTCTGGCAGGGTTGTGTGGCGCACTGATTGCACACCTTGTTCTCTGGGCAAATGCATTGGTTCTGAGCACAGACCATTGGCTCCTGGCAATTGAGTGGCGAACAGTTCTCTGTCTTCTCGCAGCGATCTCCAGAGTAGCCAACGGCACAGTAACAATGGGTGCCATTCATGGAACAGGTGCCTCCATTCAGGCACTTGCCATTTGTGGCGTTGCAGTTGATGGGCGTCAAGGCCAAAGCGGCGGCGCCATCGCCCGTGCTCTGCTGGCAGTTGTAACCTGAATGTCAAATCCAAATTGAAAATCAAACAAAATTTGAGGTTACATTTGATCATGCTTTAGCTGCTTTTGTTACTAACTGTACTTAAGACTAACATTTTAGGGGTTCTAAGCGTTGTAGAATCTAAGTGTAACAAAAATAATAAATACTACAATTCTATAAATAATAAATGCTACAAGCCTATATATTTACAGTTAATCTAGTTAGGGTTGCACCACAAATTAACTGAGCTAATGAAGGAGATTGATATTTAAGAATATTCAAATCGAAAATTCGATATATAAGCAAAATACGATATACAGTGGATATATAGATAAAAACTCTGTATTTAATATATATTTTCTAGATTTAGTTCAAGCATAAAGTGGATAGTAAATATTTAAATCGATATTTCAATATTTACTAAACGTTTTTAGAACTGATTTAGGCAAAATAATATTTTTTAAGAGCTTTCTAGATTAGTGTAGCAAAATATAAATATATTGGATATATTTCCATTGGAATTTCGATTCTCTTAAAAGTGTTTTGGATTTTATTTAAAAATAATAATAAATAGATGAAAGCCAAATGGAAAATTCGATATTTACGGAAGGTTTAATAGATTAATTTATTAATAATTATATATCAATATATCGTTTTAATGTATAGAGTATTTCCCCACATAGAACTTGCAGTGCAACCCTGTTTGTTGTTGTTGTTGCCAAACCTGTGTATCCACTAGCACATATACAGGTATAATTGTTACTATATCCTAGGCAGGTGCCACCGTTCAAGCAATTTTCTTGGGGACATGCGTTCAGGGATGCCGAGCGTTGCGTTTGTGCTTGTTGTTGTTGTTGTTGCTGTTTGTTTAGTTTACTTTCTGTTGTTGTTGTTGCTGTTCTTGTTGTGTTGGTTATTGAAGGTTTTTTGGTGGTAGTAATATTTCTTGTTGTTGCAACAATTGTTGTGGGAATAGCTGGGGTTGTTGTTGCAGTGGTTGCTTGTTCTGGTATCGGTGTTGTTGTTGTTGGCAGGCAATGACCAATGGGGCCTACATACACACATATAATTCGCATAGCCGTATATATACACAGGATTGTTACCAATATGTAGAGTATGTGTGTAAGTGTATATGTGTTTGTTTGTGTTTACATAAGAGTATTTTGGATTAGTTTAAAGCGTTTTAATTATGCATTTATTATTTAATAGCTAAATGTATATGAGTTCAACGATTTGGAATTTAAGTTAGGCAACATTGATCCTTCAAATAAGCTCTCTTTCTGACTGGGTTCTCCACTTTTATTAGCGCTACTTAAAATTTTTGTCACCCCTAAGCTGCACATGTAAGGGTAAGGTTTCTGATGTTTACCAATGGTGATTACATTTTTTTTGCAAGATGACGGAACTGTACGGCACGCCGAAGATTATATACCCTTGTACACATTTGTCTTATGGTCTAGCATATGTTTTGATATATCTAAAAAGTTTAGCTCGAAAATGCTGTTTGATGAAAATATCTTGGAAAACTGAATATTTTGTCATAAAAAAACTTATTTCGATTGATCGATATAGCTTCCTATAGTGCTATATAATATAGTGGTGCGATAGGATTTGGTTTATATGTATGCAAAATATTCTAACTAATAAATGCCGAGTTTGGGTAGGATACCTACATAAACTAAAAAGTTTTGTATACATGAACTTAATCTTAGACCGAACGTTCCTATGGCAGCTATATATGTATATGATATAGTTATTCGATGTTGATACAATATTGCATATATATGAGGAGAATAGTGGACATAATAAATGCTGATTTTAGTCAAGATATCTTAAATCTTACCAAAGAAGTATTCTATACAATAACCTACATTTCAACTATGTCCCTATTGCAGCTATGATATAGTGGTGCGATCCAGCCAGCTCTGAGAGACAAGTATAGCATAGACAAGCATAGAAACAGACAGACGGATATGACTTTATCAAATCGGCAGTTGATACTGTTCAAGAATATATATACTTTATGGGGTCGGAGATTTCTCCTTCTACTATAATAATTCCTACAAGGGTATACAAATTGGTTGCTCATTGAATTGAAGCATTTATAAGTTTAGCTTAAAGATCCTCTTATAAATTGTAAATTTAAAAGAAGCAAGCATTAATCTATGGGCTTTTTTTAATGTATTTATAATCTCCATGATGAAAACACAAGCACTAGTGGGTCCCGAGAAGTGCAACTGTAGACCTACTTAATTTTAGCTCACAACGCTTGCGCTTGAGCCACTCGGGTGATATATAGCGTTTCTTCTTGCCACCGGCGCACAGAGTGGTCGACACTCCTTCAAGCTCGCCCTCTCCCGCACCTACTCCCAGACCATGCAATTCAAGCAAAGTTGGCAGCTCCAAAGCGGCAGCTTTTGTTAGATTAAAATTCAAGTGGAAGACCAGGTAGAAAGATAGAAAGAGAGGCACAGATAAATATGGTAACCCTAAAGCTAAACCAAAACGAACGAGTTACATGCGCCACACCATGAACCACTGAACCACTGAAACCATATTTAAAAGTAGAATCATCTACTCACCCGAAGTTCCTGGCTTACACATACACACGCCGCCAACACACTCCGAATCGATGGGACACTGCTGGGCACAGCTTGGACCCAGTTGGCAGAGCTCACCGCTATATTCGGGCGCACAGATGCACTGGAAGCCGATGGCCTTATCGACACAGGTGCCGCCATTGAGGCACTGCTGGGTCTGGCAGCTAATGGGATTCTCGCAGATCTCGCCATGCCAGCCATCTTGGCACTGGCAGGTGTAGCCGCCGTACGTATCAAAACAGCGTCCGCCATTTAAGCACGGATTATCATCGCACTCATCGATGTTCGTCTGACAAAAGGCGCCCATGTAGCCAGTGCCGCTGCAGTTGCAGCTGAATCCATTGATGCTATCGATGCAGTTACCATTGTTCTGGCAGGGCTGTGAGGCGCACTCGTCCATATCGATTTCGCACCGAGTGCCCGTATAGCCCTTAGGGCACTCGCAGGTGGGACTGGAGCTGCCGCTCAGCACAACGCACGCGCCATTATTTAAACACGGATTCGACTGGCAGAGCGGATGTATATTGACCTCGGTCTCACAGTGTTCGCCACTATGATTAGCGTGACAGACGCATTGGTAGTCACCGCGTGAATTCTCGCGACAGGTGCCGCCATTATTGCACGGATTCTTGGCGCACGGCGAGCCATTGTCCTTTTGACAGTTCTTGCCCGAGTACCGTGCCGTGCAGCGGCATTCGTAGCCATCGGCACTTGAAGTACAGGTGCCATGACCCATGCAGGGATCATTCAGACAATAGTTGTCCTGCGCCCGGGTAAATGTTTCGTGCTCACTGCACGGACCATACGACAATGGGCAGACTCCAAAGACGGCATTCTGTTTGGATGCATTCACGAACTGCAGTCCAGGTCCATCCAGCAGGCAGCCCGAGAACGAATTGCCCAATATCAGAATGGCCAACTCGTTGCCGATGTCCTGATTGGTGAGAAACTGGCTGTTGTACGTCGAGTTGGCTGCAATTAATACAGAAATATGCATGAATTACTTTTCATAACGATAGATAGCATTTATAGATGGACATTGAATGGAAGCTATGCGGCTGCCCAATACGTGGTTATGGGCCTGGTTAACAAGTCACGTAGTTAAGGCTTCCATAAAGGTGGATTTTCTCTCAAGTTCTCTTATTTAAAGTACATGAATATGTTCAAGCCCACAAAAAACTTAATCAGTGTAAAATTTAATTATTTTTGAAAAACCAAAGTTGATTCTTAATTATTGTAATTCATTAGAGCTGAGACAGTTCTTATTTACGAATCCGAAGCGTTTGTATGGATTTAGCGTTACTTAGCCAAACGATAGCACTGAATAAGCAGGTAGGTTGATAGCTTATAATTATATCCTAGTAAAATAATTTTGTTGGTCTGCCTTGGTAGAAGAGTTTTCCGAACATTTATATGTTATTTTTAGCTAGTGTCACATACCTGCAATTGGAGACTAAGATTTTAAAATTGGGGACTGTATAATCGCTTTTTCTAAGGGTTCAAAATTAAACATGTGTACAAAAAAAATTGTATTTATATATTTATTATGCATGTATTAATGTTGAGATGTGCGCCGAACACGCTAAAAACGACCGAACTAAAGCAAGCCGAGCCTAATTTTAATTTAAATTGAATTTTCTTGTGCTTCCGCATGGAAGTTTTGAAAAATTTATGGACTGTTTGGGTTTCTTTTGTCATTTAAGGATTCAGATTGAAGCACAGAAAAATTAGTTTTAAAGTTCCGTTGCCTAATGAAACGGATATGGAACATCCGATAATTGATTACGATTTTTGGTTTTAATAATTTAGGCATAATTTTCATTCCCAAATCGAATTACCAAACAATATTACCAAATGCTTTTAAAACTGTTTTCTATTATTATTCTTAAGTTTTTAATCGATTTTTTTATTATTTAATTATTAACAGCTTAAAAAATAATGAAAATTGCGTATGAAATGTATGTTGCAATATTTGATCAAAGTAACTTATAAATGTGTACAATTTAATCCCTCGGAATATAACAAAAAGTCTCATTAATTTAATGTTAGCTAATATAGTCAGTGATATGTCTAGACTTTTTTCGAGCCCAATTTCTTTTCAATTTGACACGATCCATGACTGACTAGCCCGCTTTAATTGGAATATAATCACTTACCAAATATAATTGCCTCACGATCCACATGCAAATAGAGATTACCGTACTCGTACTTGAATTGTAGCGTATGCCAGCGATTGTCCAGCAGTTGGTAGGGCAATCTGACGTCCAGGCGATTGTTCAGCCCGATGACGGCTGGTCCGGCGAGGGAAACTTGCAGGAAATCGTTCAGCACTGAGATTACTATTGAGTTTTTGTTATATTGCTGGGCGAGTATTTCACCGCCGCGGCACGAGCGGAAACTGATCGCAGAGTGGTCCCAGGTGGGCATGGGCGTTTGCAGACGCAGATAAGCGGACCCATTGAAATATGCCTCCTTCGTGTGCACTTCCACCGAGGCAACATCTGTCCGAGAAGAAAATGTAAAGAAAATGAGGTGAGTATTGTAAAAAGCAAAAAAAAAAATGGCATGCCGAAGATTAAATACCCTAGTAGACATACAAACAAGCAATCGACTCAGAAGTGTTTTCATATGTGGCGATAATTGAAGCTCATATTTGCTGAGTTTGGTCTCGGAAACTCATTCGTTGACCCATTTTGTGGGTCTATCCGGCCAATTCTGACAAATATACCTACTGCAACAAAGGGACAGATCTATGCATTGCTTTGTAAAGTGAGAAATTATATTGCATACACATACGGACGTGATCAAGAAATTATATAGCTTATGGTGTTGAAGATAACTTCTCCGATACGTTACACATTATATGACAAAGCTATATTACTCTTTGATAGGGTATACAAATTGGACAAGGCCAGGCAGCGGGTAATCGCATTTGATTACAGGTCAAGCAAGGCGGGTAAACGGGGAGGGGTAACTCAGTTAAAGAGACATTGTTTTTGCTGCATTTGTAATCGTAGACTTCCTCATTTGTCACGTTTTTTTCGCGACTTGTCTTATTGGGTACACGGCTAACGTCTAATTTAGCAATTGGCCAATTGGTCAAACAGACTTTTCGCCTGGAAAGTGTTTGAGTCGAAGCAGCATTGACCAAATTAGAAAAGTTGCCGGCACAGATGCCACCTAATGTTAATCAGTTGCTTCCAACGTCAACTTCGGAACACAACTTTCATTTGCGCTGGCGGCGCAGAATCAATTCGCCTTTCCCGTTGCCCTCACCACACATACATACATACTTACATACAGACAGACATACATACACACACATATACAAATGTGCGTGTTTGGACAGCACCAGCAGACACCACCACACGTTAAGCTCAAGTGTTTTCCTTAAAGATACAACACGGGCTCTATGGAGTGAGTGCGCAAACCGTAAAAAAGCAAAATCAAAACATAAGCAAGTTTTTTTATCTCTTCAGTGGAAAAAGTTGAAATTATGAGAAAGAAAGTTGTACTTAGGAAACGATAATGTAAATTTTTAGAAACATGAAAATGTTATTAACGATTTATTAATTTCTTCCGATTTTCAATAAACATGCTATTTCCGAATTTATCATGATATAAGAAAACGCTATTATATACCTTAATCTTGAAAAATATTTTCACTTTTTTCTCATACCGAAAGAAACATCTGACAGAGCTACATGTAGTTTGCATCTTTATAAGTAATCAATTTATATATTAGTACTCGAATTAATGTGTAAGTTATTTGCAGTACTTGAAATTAGCCAATTAAAAAAATATACTATAGAAATGTTTACTCAACTAGTTTAAGAATTAGAAACCAATAAGACCTATGTGTAAGGCATAGGCAATAATATCTGTCAATGTTAACACTATATTAATTATTATATAATAATGAAACTTTAAAGAAGATAATAGAGCTTAGCCCTATGCAATTAATTTTTGAATTTCCTATACAATATCAAAGTTTCTAAATTTCCATAAAAGAAGTTGGTTGCCTCTCAACAGTTGGCACAGCTTTCAAGGTTTTTTAAATTTATAAAATTTTTTTTGTGTTTAGTTTTGCGAAATGATTTATTTACGTTCATATGTGTATCTATTATATTTTCTTGTTTGCTTCGTCTTTGATTTGTTTGCCCTGTTACACAAATAATGCTTATCTTAAAATAATAACATATGTATGTACATACATATGTTGTCAGAAGTAAGAAAGCTAGAGGTGCATATGCATAACTAATGTGTTAACAAAAAGAAGAGTATGCAATCTGTCTCATAGGTAATAAGCAAAGTTAGGAAACGAACTGTCGAAAATGTTTAACAAAATACTTAAAGAGGGTGTACATATGCTCATATTGATATATATGTACCTATAAACATTCTCTGCGGTCACATATGTATATGAATATGTCTTCGAGCTGGTTTCAATGGCATTGGTTAAGTGGCAGTAGCTGTTTAATAACAAATAAAATATAAAAAAAAGATTCAACAACAAAATTTGCAGTTTAGAATTTGTGTTAAGTGGCTGAAAACGCGATTTTGTCATAAATCTAAATTTGGCAAGTGTGAACAAGAAGGTTTTTTGTTTATATTTAATTCTGTTCACACAAGCATTTTGTTTTTAAAACTCTGACTTGCCCCACATGACTCTGAACTTTTGGCCTGGCCTGGCCCTAACTACCAGACAGGCCAGTTGGCTTAGAAACAGTTTAAACAAAAAACAAAGCAACTGCATGCAATGCGTTGACCAGACCTCGAACTGGCCCCACCATTACCCTACTACGGCTGCCCAACGCCACCCCCGCGCAGGGGTGAAAACCTTATGAGGCCATCGATTTTGTTGCGCCGCTTTTAAGGCATTTGATTCGCATTAAAAGGCGATTTAGTGTGCCGGACAGTTGGAAATGAAGGGTTCTGGAAACGTTTTGCTGTCATTCGGTTTTGGTTTTGGTTTTTGTATTTGTGTGTCAGCGCTTTGAGAGCTTCGTGCCCACTCGTGGGTAAGTAAATGAGCCAGTAAGTAAGCCGTTGGTAAAGTAGCTCATAATTATATTATACTCACGTACGAAACTGTGCAGAAGAACATTAAAAAAGCTACAAAACGCATGTAAGAATGCTGCAAACAAAATAGTTTTCACACCCCAGATACCCTATTTTACAATAATTAAAAGATGAAGAAAATATATATTTAGCTACCACCGAATCCGACTGAAGCTAAGCCAAATTCTTGGTAATTGATAAATTAATTGCGATAATTACAATTACTTAAAACAAACTCATTAACTATTTTGTTATTTACTTTTTGATAGTTTATTTACTCTTTTAAGTAATAATGCGAAAATAGGCGAAAAGTATAAATAAAATTCAACTTTAAGTAAACCTTTTTTGAATTAAGAGAAGAGAAAATGAACAGCAGTGCGGATCGTGGCTGCGTCCCTTTCAGCAACTTCTATACAGGGTATGAAAATGCCATTTAAAATAAAAAAGAATTACTTATTGTATATGCTGTATGTGTAGACATGCTCTTTTGTATAACAGCATTGGCCTTTTGTGTTTAGCCGTAAACGAACGGAACGGAAATTTCATAATCATAAACGTTTGAAATGCGAAAAAGCAAAAAGAATTTTTGCTTTCGCATTTTTGACAACTGTTCGCTTGCGTCTTCTTCTTATTTGTCTTGTGAATGAATCGACAATACGACGACAGCCACGATGATGACGACGACGGTGTCGACTTTTACGGCAACTCGGAACGAGATCTTGAGTTGAGAGCGAGCGAATTTTAAGTTTTTAGCGGTACCATAAAAGAAACAGTTGTTAATGGCTCTGCTTATGCCCTGTATCCACCGAGATTGGGTAAAAGAGGGTATTATGGGTTTTAGTTTTCTTAGTTTTCTATTATGGTTGGTACAAGGCAGAGAAGGATGCATCTCCGACTCGATAAGTATACATATGTGTATAGCCCTTGGGCTTTGGGATATGCACATTTTGTGGGGCCATATTTAAGCTTTGAAGATTTTATAATGATCGGACTTTAAACACCGAAGTTATTCAAGGATGCATTTGCCTCAGTATGTGGCAGAGGGAAGAAATAGCCCAGCCGCTGCATAAACAGCACAGCCTGTCGATGAAATGATCTAGAACTTTTTAAAGGCATCTCGCTGCTACAGAGTATTTTCTGGTGGGGCACACAACTCACTAGAGGATTCATAGTTTTCTATTTCGGGAACGTTAAGTTTGTAGCAAGCGACTCTTCAAAGTTGAAGCTTAATTATGTCAAAATCGCGTTTAGCTTTAAGTTGGGCGTGTCAAATGGTCGCCACAAAGAAAATTGGAATGCCCGTAACTAAATGAGCACAAAGAATTTTTAACAAAACAGTATGCATAATATAATGAAGAGTTGTGACAATATCTTTTTTTGATAATACCCCTTCGAATTTATGCTTGTTCGTCAAAATTTATGATCATGCAGATATGCAGAATCTGCATAAAGTCGCAAAAGGGTAATGACATCTATGTAATTAAATAATTCGATATACCTTTATTTATTATTTTGCACTTGACATAGGAGATTCCACAAAAGAATATTCGATACTTAAAGAAGAACATGAAATACCAGGCACATACATTTCAGACATTTTTCACCCAATTTTCACTATATGCCATAATCCGATTTGTATTTTATTTAGGGAATTGAACTTGAGTTGAAAAGTCATTTGCAAAGAACTGTGTTTTTGAACAAACTTGTATTCTTGCAAGCAAAATTTAGTTTAAAAACATTTGGACATCAGTATATAAATTTGATTAATACTTTAATACTTTTTGCAAATTAATGGTTAGATGTTTTCTTAACATCATTTTTCACATTCATTAACTTTGTCAAATATAAATTTCTACTTTCATTTCAGCTTTAAAAACAATTATACATTTTCCCATGCATGCAGTAGTTTAATAGATACAATCTACTCAGTTATATCATTATTCATTTCCCATTTCCCCAAAGTGTTTTTACAAAAAAATTAACATTCAGAAAAAAGTAATGTATGCAAATGCAATGTCGAAAACTATGCTAAATACTCGTACAATACAAGAGTAACAACAAAATTGTAGCTCAGACTCCTGACTTGCACACTTTTGCATAGGCGAAAGACCTAGTTAGCAAACCCTCACACACATGCAAATCTGCATAAGTATGCATGTAAATTAGCTCAGCTTTGAGCCTTTGCATTGCATTGCACTTTGTGGCATGACTAATCAGCGCCAACTTATACACAGGCCAAAGACAACGTGGCTCTCACACACACACACAAACATACAGACAGTCACTGCATGTTTGATGCGATTTTTGCAGTCGCGATTTGTGAGCTGTTTTGGCTGTTTGGCTTGTATTCATTTTTGCAGCTCTGGCGTTTTCGTCTGGTTTTTTGTACTCTCCCAACTTTCTAAGCGGCGTTAGCTGCAACTGTTAGCTCCAAATAACT